TAACTCATCATAGTTTCAACACAACTCAACAACATACCAACTCATCATAATTTTAACACAATAACAAAATCAATACACAACTTTGCAACTCACATCTCGGATTCAACTCTATAATCAACTAATATCTCAACAACACATGGTGTATTCAACTCAACTACATAGCCAACATACAACATGGTCAACACACAACTCACATCACATATCTACTCTTCATCTAACAACTCACAACACAATCATCATATACTACGTCTTCTCTACAACTCATTCATCTTATTATCAAATAACAACTTAAATTAGCAATAAATCAACACTTCATCAAAAAAATCATCATGTTTTTCTTCAGCAAGTCACACTCAACACTACTCACCTTGTGCCTAGTGTCATCTAGGTAAAGTGTTTTCTACCTTGCTCACACCCAACGCTCGATGTAGCTAAGGTAGAGGCCCTTGTGACCTCATGCTTGGTGTGGTAAAAACACCATGCCTAGCCCCATCTTAGGAAAAAAGTCTTTGTCTAAGTCTCACATGGCATCACCACCTCGATGCTCGATGAAATCCAAACAGAGAGCTCTACCTTAGCCACGTTGGGTGCCACACAACTTTAGGTCCATCGTCACCAAGTCAGAGAGCTCTCAAGGCATCCCCATCTAGCATCATTCAACCACGCTTGACGTAGTTGCAATTCGAGAAGAGTCTCTCTCCTAACATCCGATGCCATCAACCCTACACCCAGCGTGATTGAGACAGAGAGCCTTGAGTTAGAACGACACCTAGCGCCTTGAAGGAAAACCTGACGCGACATCAAAATTATACATATGTATAACTTGATTTTGAGCCAAAGCTTGCAATCCAACAAAAATCCAACACATGTAACAAATGATAATGCCTCTACTCAACTCAAACAACTCAAATCATGCACAAGAATCAACATGCAACAACAACATATACAAATCATCATATCCCCCCTTCATGCAACTCAGCCTCATCCCTCACACATCTCTTCCCCAATTCATCAATTCCTCCATTTTAGTTTGAAATCCAAACAACATTCAACACCAAAATCATCTAACAACTCCATCACACCACAAAGAAAACAAAAATCTAGCTTCCCTTACCTCGAGCGACTCGGATCTAAGGTAGAAAAAGAAGAAACTAGGGATCCGCAAAGAAATCAACTATTGGATTTAAGGTTTCCAACAACTGAATCACAACACAACTTAGAGAATAATTAGGAAGAAGAAGAGAAGAAGATTGAGAGAAAAAGAGAGCTCACGGACTAGAGACCTTCTCTCTAGAGTCCCCACTCTAAAAAGTTGAGGGAAATGAGTTTATGACTCTTCTAAATAGAAACCTTATATACTCTTTCTTGTAGGGTCAAACTGGATATCTACTCAGGGAATCCCCCCCCCCCC